CACACTCATGATAAAGGAGATCCGATTATTCTTGTTGAACATTTGTTTATCGGATCATGGCGAGATGGTCATCCTGGATGATGGCCAGAGACGGTATATATGGCGTTTGTGATATTATAGGAAGCTTTCCTGAAGTTATGGTCATTCAAAGATGTCCAGGGAAGCCGCAAGGGGGACTTATAAATACAAAAGAAGCGCACCAGTTTAAGGTGCCACTGTCGATTGATAGATCATATCTGCGTGCTGAAGGTGGCCCAAAGATGGATTTGGTCTCAGTGCGGATGGATTCCTTTCCGGCCAAAATAGCGTCGTTAAAGTAAAATTAGATAATAGAGATCTGATCAAGACATCATATCGAACTCAAGAAGAAAGACTTGACAATTGCCAAATGCCGTCATTCAAATTTGACTGGCTCACAACTCCTGGCACCAACGCTACGCGCAGTCACATGATCATTTCTAGATCCATCCATCCTAGAATCAAGAAACTTTGATTTCCAATCTGTAACGGTCGCATTCAAAATCCACCACCGTCACTTCTAAATTGACCACCGAGAACCACAAAGATGGCTGATTCAACAACAGAACCACAAGTGTCTGCCCCAGTATTCAAGAAACGAGGCGCAAAGGGCAAAGCAAACCTACGCAAACGACCAGCGGCGCCACTTCCCGCTGACAGCGACGATAGCGACTACTCATCGTCAGAAGACGAGTCGGGACAGCGCGTTAAGCGGCGCAAGAAGACTGCCACCGTCACAGCATCCTCAAAAGATTTGACAACAGGGAAGACGGATCTTCAGGCGACAGTTTATACAGCAGACCGCAATGTACCTATCACAAGTACCAATGACGCGACAAAACATAGCAACTGGTACGATGAAGACTCTCAGGATGCGCTATCAGCAAAGAACCTCCTAGGCTCAACAAGAATTGCCACAAAGGATCCGCAGCCCGATGGAACATACAAAGGACTCGCAAACCAGACTACTTTCATCCAGAAGAACCCCGATGCGCCCCACAGAGCGAAGGGTCCTGTCAAGGCCTCCTCAAATGTCCGTACCATCACAGTTATGGACTTCAAGCCAGACGTTTGCAAGGATTACAAGAAGACCGGGTGGTGTGGTTTTGGGGATTCTTGTGTCTTCGCCCACATACGTGACGATGTGAAGCAAGGCTGGCAACTTGATAAGGAGTGGGAAGAAGTTACCAAGGGGAAGAAGAACCTAGGCGGTACCGTTGTTGCGAGCGCCAACCGCGACAAGAAGGTGGAGAATGCAGACGACGCAGACGAGATTGCTATGCTTGAAAAGATCCCTTTTGCATGTATTATTTGCGAGGGACCATATAGGGAACCGATTCAGACGAGGTGCGGACACTACTTTTGCGAGCCATGTGCCCTTAAGAGATACAGAAAAGACCCGACATGCGCTGCATGCGGAGCCGGCACGAATGGCGTGTTCAACTCAGCAAAGAAGCTGAAGAAGCTACTAGAGAAAAAGAAAGAGCGTGAAGAGCAGAAGAAGAAGAAGGAAGAGGAAGAGGCTCAGGAAGAGCAATGAGTATCTTACCTCCTATTGGACTTGGGCTTGTAGACATGTATTTCTAACAAAATATTCTGAAGAAGAAAAGATACCACGATATCCCGAATAGAGCACTTGATCACTTTATGCAAATTCACTGACCATGGCTAACTCTGCGTCTCTTGTCCTGGTGATCCAAGCACCAGACGGACTCTCATCTGGCCAGGAGAGGCTCATGGTATACACGTGAGCAAAGCTTCTGGAAGATGACGTGCATGTTGATAAGATAAGCCCAGCTCCGTACCCGCTTCAGTCAAGCTCCCCCAACTCTGAGTGGCTGTCCGACGTCACGGCCAATGAGGGGTCCAGGCATATCCGTACACCTCCATGTGATCGCCTCACCAGTGAAGCCTATTACTCAGGCACCATAACATATTTATTTGTCTTTCTTTATCAGTCATCCTCCCTCTTTTTTCAGGCAGACGTGACGGAGATACGACAAAGTTTTCTAAAGCCTTTCTTATTATTTGGAACTTTGGCTCCTTTGTATCCCTTCACCACCAGGCCTATACAGAATCTCAACCCCGCATTATTTCAGATACAGCGTCCGAGTCCACACTACGACAAGCTTATCTTTCCGACTCCTTGAACCTCAACAGACATCATATCTATCGAACGAGCGAATCGAGACGAAACGAAGTCATCATGAATTACATATATTCCACCGTCAACACCCTACGGGATCGTTATACTCCTGTCTCTCACAAATCAACCTTCCGCCAGACTGGCCAAATCACACCCGAAGAGTTCCTCGCTGCGGGCGACTACCTCGTGTACAAGTTCCCGACCTGGTCTTGGGGTGATGCCGACTCTCCCGAGCAGCGAGTAAGCCATCTACCTCCAGGAAAGCAGTTCCTCGTCACACGCAACGTTCCCTGCCATCGACGCCTAAACGATGACTTTGCAGGCGACGCAGGCCATGAGGAAGCTCTCGTCAACGATGGCGAAGACTTCAAGGGAGCTACTGGCGACGATGAGGATGGTTGGTTGAGGACCGGTGGTCTGGCTAGTTCCCAGCCGTTGAAGGTCAAGGAGGTGAGGACGGTGGATGACTCCGGAAATGTCGGTGATCGAGAGGTTGTCGAGGATGATGACGAAATCCCTGACATGGAGGATGAAGACGACGATGAGGCTATCATTCGCGACTCTGGCGCTGATTCCAAGAACAGGTTTGCTACAAAGGTCGCATTCTAGGAAGATCTACTAACAACTAGCAGCGCTCACCGTACATACACTCTTTACATCATGTACTCGCCCTACTACCGAACACCCCGTCTGTATCTCTCAGGCTATCTTGCCAGCGGTCAGCCGCTGCCCCCTAACGACATGACAGAGGACATCGTCGGCGACTACAAGGACAAGACAGTGACACTTGAGGACTTCCCCTTCTTCGCCAACAACATCAAGATGGCCTCTGTGCATCCTTGCAAGCACGCCTCGGTCATGAAGACTCTACTCGACCGTGCCGATGCAGCTCTTCGTCTGCGTCGCGAGAAGCTCCGTGCTGGCAACAGCCAGACACCGTCTGGTATGGAAGGCCTGGTAGACGAGATTGGAAAGTTGGATGTCAAGGGCGCTCAAGAGGCAGCGGACAAGGATGAATGGGAGGAGGTCCAGGAGACCGAGATCGATGATCAAGAGGTTGCTATCCGAGTGGATCAGTACCTAGTTGTATTCCTCAAGGCAAGTCTCTCCATGTTGCGTATAGTTATTCTCCGTTTCCTAACATTTCCCCCTAGTTCATGGCCAGTGTGACACCTGGTATCGAGCACGATTTCACCATGGGTGTCTAATGGGGAGAATCTGAAACTAGACTTGTGGGCAAGAGATGCAGATGGTCATGGAAGTTTGGACTGGGAATCACTATATCAGGAGAATAGGCGTTGACGGTGTTCGATTGTTAAGATCTTCTATGGTAGCGATTGTATTCAGACAGTGTGGATTCTTTCACTTCCAGCATGAATATACGGAAGCTGCGGGTTTATATCTGCATACCTCAGAGGCTCAGGATTTTCACACAAGGCAAGTCGGATAGCGATGATGTACCTTAGGTAAGGATGCTATAGTCGATTGATGTTATATGATATAAGGCAGCTGCTCTTGCATTGATGCCTTGTGTCAGTGGTGACTACAAAACCCCCTCGCCCGGCTAGGTTGACATCCATGCCGCAAAGGGCTGAAGGAGAAACTTGATGCAACGGAAAAGCTCAGGACCTTCACTCTAGATAACAAAAAGACATGAGTTTGATTTAGTAGAAATTAGTATAGTTAAGTACAAATTCAGGGGAGCTTGGATTAGGTATTTTGACCTCAATTCGACGTCACAGGTTTTCTCCTGGACCGCTGCATCAGTATAAATATTGTGTGCAAACAACAACACGCCAGGTAGTAAGTTATATTGAGCTATTTCATTCTGTAGTCGATTCCTATACGCTTTTGTCCTCCATTTTGTGTCTGTGTTTCACCCGAAGAGAGATTGCCAGAAGTTCGTGAGCGTTGTCATGACGGGGTCTTGAACGAGAGTGCCTATCAGCCCAGCACTTACTTGAACTTGTCAGTCTGATCACTGTCACATTATCAATGTATTATTGATGTCCAACTTATCGCCCGGTACCGTGTATGTCTTGACTCAGAAGATAGGAACATTGGACAAGGCTTTGAATAACAGAGTCTGTCAAAGATTGCGAAAAACCGGTCACAGCAGACAGAGATACTGAATCGATGGAAAAAAACAGTTCCTTATTGCCCACAGGCAATTTCCTTGATATCTACTGATGAATGTATCCTCGACTCCCTTTGCTACGACCCAAACCTTCACGTTGTTCCGTGAAACCCGAAAGATGAAGCCTTGCTCCAGACTACTCCCATTTCCCCATTTTCGCCCTAGTCCTTCATCCGATTCCGATACCAACCTCCTATCATTCAGGGTATTCAAACGCAGACCTCCACCAATGTTCCAACTTCCACAAAATAATTCCAAGTGAGCCTGCCCTCCTGTCATAAGCTCATGATCGCGTCACTGTTTACCGCCATTGCGACAATAATGTTGTAGAATCTGCGATTCCCAATAAAACAAAACGCAAAAGGTATAATGACCAGTCCCCCTATACTCCTGTTCTATAAGTGTGCATCCTTTTTTATCCCTTGTCCCATAAAACCGCATGTGCGCTCGCTTCCCGTTGACCCTGATTGAAAACTCAGCCCGAGGTGAAAGACAGTTCGCAAATTCGACAGACGTATAAATCGTGACCTGCGTTCAAGACCGCTCAGTAGGCATTTAACGCTAAAACATTTCATCATCGTGAGTAAGACGTCAAGTGGATGCTTGAGAACGCTCCAGATCCTCCGGCGAAGACGGTGGAACCTGGTTGCACAAACTCGAGCTGCGGGCTCGATAACCTGTGGCTCCTTGGATGCCGTCCTACATGGCACCAAAAGGGGCACCAAAGTTGGACGTGCTCTTCAACTTTAAAGGAACGTCAATTTCAATAGCCTTGCCACTGCCTTCGCCGTCACTATCATCGGCATCTCGCTGGGCGTCAGCAGGTCCATCCCCGCCGACTGGACCGGCCTGCTTGGACATATGCGTAGGAGCGTTGGAGCCAGATGGTCCAGCAATAGATCCCAGCCCGTGGCCTTGCATCACAGCCGGAAGAGCATTTTGCCCCTGGCTTATAGGCTCCAGTGCTTCGTGCAATTTTTCAAAAAAGAGCTCATCTTTGGCCGGCATGTTTCTTAACATCAAAGGTCCCTTGAGAGCTTTGTCGCCGCCACTAGGTTCCATCATGACATCTGGTGCGTTTGGGTCAAGCTCTTCTGTAACAGATATAAAAGACACCTTGGAATCGCGCCTATCAGATTGCACAGGTACCGATAGGCTGTCATTCTTCTCCTCTTCCGCGATCACAGCTGCATCCAGATTGATGACAGTCTCGACAGTAGGTGTGGCGCCCTCGCCAACGATGGAACCTGGGTCAGTCGGATTGACTTTAGGGAATAAGGACAGGGAATGATTGGGTGTATGGCCGGCATGCATTGTTAGGCGTCGAGACTCTACAGCAGAGAGAGCTTGCAATGTGTATTCCTTGGAAGAGGCCCGGGGATTCGTGGGGCGTCGAGACTGCTCTGGGCTTCGAGCAGCGGGACCAGGAGGGGATGCTATGGGAGATGCTGGGTTTTCGGGAGGAGATGCACCGGCGGCGAATGTGGGCTTCTGGACCGCAGTGGCCTTGAGTGGGATACCTTCCAACTTAGGGTCGATTTCTTGAACATCAATGACTGGAACAGGAGTGGCCACGTCCTCTGTAGGGGACGACAAGAAGTCCTTAGCCACTGGGTTCTGGGTCTGCATCCTGGGGTCAAGGGGGACAAAAGGTGATGATTCGGGTTGTGTTGTGGGAGATACTCGAGCGCTGCTTGACTGGAAATAATGAGGTCGACGAGATGCTCCATCAAGACCAAGTGGAAGAGATGACGCATCAGACATGGACAGACCAGTTGGAATGGTGGGATTTTGTCCCCTTGACGCGAGTCGTCCTGGTGGAGCTTGGAAGTAGGAACTGTCCATGGAGCCCTCACCGCTTCCGCCACGCTGACTCGCGAGAGGCGATACCACGCCCGTAACCTGGATACTCTGCGCTGTGACAGCCTTGAGCGCACTGTTCTCTCCTTCAAGTCGATGGACGCGTTCTTTGAGTTCTTCGATTTCTCGAGCCATGCCCTCCTTCTCGGCCTCCCAGCTATCCCGGACCTCATCCATGATGATCCGTTCTTCTTGATAGACCTCTTCAGCTCGTCGCCGATTAGCTTCGAGATGGTTCCGCTCAGCTTCCCAGGCTTCACGGATCAATTGGTTCTGCTGCACGAGGCGTTGAACCACGTGCACTGATGATTGAGAGGCAGCCACTGCGTCTGCCGAAACGGATCTTGAGAGGGATGCACCAACGAGTCCGGAAGACGAAGAAACGTTTGGCAGAGGAGCTGTAGATGATACCGGAAAGCGGAATTCTGGAACGGGAGGCGGACCTCCGTGAGTGGGAGATACAGTCGCGGGACGAGCGTCGAAAGTGTCGAAAGATTCGGTCTGCTGAGGAAATGGTCGATAACTAGGCGGAACAGATTGAGCAGCCCTTAAAGACTCTAGTGACAGAGGAGATGAATCTTTGTGCTGAAGTGGCAGGGTGCTCGCGGGGGGTATTCGGCCGCGCTGAAATTGACTCTGGCTATAATCTTGGTTTTGCGTTTGACATGGGTTTAGATAGTGTTGTGGATATTGATGACGAAGGGTTCCAGCTCGAGGATACGAGTTGGGCGGTGACGGAATACTGGACGTGTTGCGATAAGGGAGATGGTTATTCAGGGAAAGAACAACATCAGAGTCGTAGGCGCCCGATGGCAGAAAAGCCTCGGGCGTGAACCTCGCAGCCATGATCATGGAAGGCGTGCAGAAGGTCTGTCACTGTGGAGCGTGGAATAAATCGGAGGAAGTGTGTGTGGGATCGCTTTTTCGTTAGGAAGGCATAGGGCGTTTGAAGTTGTTCTAGTCGATTTCCTAAAACTTGGTGCTGATGCAAGTCGTTCCCGGTCGTTAAAAGTCGTCGGGATGAAATGAAATTCGAGGAAGGCGAAGTGAGAGGAATTGGTTTATGTTGTGATTGTCTCTTTCCTTTTTACTGACTCGAGAGGGAAGGTGAGACCAAATCCGAGACCTAATTCAAGGGATGTTGGGCGAGTTCGAGATCTAGGTATGACGCAAATGGGACCCGCCAAGCGCAAGGCACAGGACCCTTTATCTTGAAGGTTGTAGCGGGAGTGGGAGGGCTACGTATTGTTTGCGCTGTGCGATGAAAAGCTGAGGTAGCGCAAACAAAGGGTGTTGTTAGATAATACCGAGATTGACATAAGGTAGAATTTGGAGAGGAGCAATAAATTGGGAGGTGGAGAGATGGCACGTTCATATGGGATATGAAAATGAGTCAAAACGAGGTAAGAGCAAATTAGAGAAAAGACGGTGACATTGATGATTCGTTCCTGCGCCAAAGCCAAGTTCGGGTCGGTACCTGCCACCCCCCCAAGTATCCGTTCTTGCTGCCCGGGGAGGGGGGAAGGAGGTGCGCGTGCCGTGAAAAGACCAGGGAAGGTGTGGGGAGGGTCGCCTTGCCGGTAATAAGTTGCTCTCTAGTGGATGTGCTAGATGTGGTAGCAGGCCACCATTGGGCCCAATGGCCGGGCTGGGAGCAAAAAAGCTTAGGACCTCTACACTAAGGAATAAAAATTTAAGTGAGCTCAGTATAAGCTTAGCAGAGTGTTTGCTACTTATTTTTGTCACTCAGGATAAAGGGCTCAAATTTTCTTGTCTCCCGTACGGATGGGTCGTGGCGGCGCCTGGCAGCTCGCCTTACAGCGTCGGGCCCCTGTAGTGCAGCGCATTGAACTTCTAAAGCACCTGGTGTGACCCCCTGTAATGGATATCCAATTTGGCTGAATTGGATCGGATGCTGAATGCTGTGCTTCCCACCTCCGTGAGCTGGAATGGCTAGAAATGGAATCGGTGACCTACCGAGACGGGAGTGTATTTCCCCAAATGGACCGTGTCTTGCAGTCATATTTCAGTCTTACACAGAACAAGCAAGCCATGATTCGGCGGTAGGCGACTTATTAGCTGCGTTCCGTCGATTAGATTGCAGCTCGTGGCGATGTTACGGCTATTGCTAGTGTACTGCTGCTGATATGATTTACAAGCATTCCACTGTCTCAGCCGACGAAAATCGCCTGTTAGTATTTGAATTTGCTTCTGTTGTTTCCAAGGGACGGGGCGTTGCGGCAGAGACCGGACCGGCGGGAAGACCAACAACGGGGACACGGACGGTACGATCAACAAACATTTGTTACCGTTATCAAGGAGTCTACAATAATTTTTTATCCTGTTTGGAATCACTAAGCTATCTCAGTAGTGCAAGACTCTGATACACTCTCTTGTTTCTAGCAGACTTCAGCGGTCTCTCTGCGGCCATCCCTCGGAGGTTCTTGCTCGACGCTTCTCTTGGCTGATGTGCGAGACAGACAGGGGCAGGGGATTTCACAGCATGGGGTTGGCTGATGATTCTATGCAGGCGGACAAAGTTCAGAAGACCCTTTGTACAGGGTTAGTTGGCGGTTGGGTCGATGATTTGATCCTTCGGTAGTGTTACAGCCGAACAGCTGTTTCGTACCTATGGAGAAAGGATGTTTGACATCCATAATATCGATACCGTATGGTTGGAGCCCATAACTAGAATTTCGAAAGATTCCATTTGTGCGCCTTTTGGAGCAAGATGAGGTTGGTCAAACATCGGCGACAATCTTTGTCGCCATCACAATTTGCTTGATACAACCTGGAGCCTTATGGAATTCCTCAGGACATGTTTGACATCCCTCAAAGCTGTGCCTGGCTGTCAGTTGTCGAATTATCAAGCTTGTCAAGGTCGCATCCTGGCCTCAGATCATCATCGATATTGGCCACTTGATCTACATGATTGGCAGTCATCAGACACTGGACCACACGGAACGCATCCAGTCTTCCACTGCAAGGGCAACCTCCACTGCGGTTCGGCCCCTTCAACGTTCTAGCTTGGAGCTGGCTAATATCTAGAAGCTTTTGATTGGGTCTTGGGGTCAATATTTGCCATCTTGCCAGCCCTCACCCAGGTACACTCACGCCTCTGCAACTCAAATCAATAGCTCTCAGCTGCTAAAGTCTAGACGCTATACCTTGTGGCAAATCGATGTTTCCTTTTGCTCGCCTTTTGCTCTATCTCAACAGGTACCTAGGTATGTTTGCGTTTGATTAGGCACTGACAGCTAACTCATGTCTGGGTCAATGCTAACCAAAAACACCGTACGCGACCCCAAAAATGACTTGTTCCTTTCTCCACATTGGAGCCGAGCTTACGGATACTGTACATTGTACAACGCATCATACAGTACAGGCACACCTCACACCGCGCAATCTATCTCAAGGAGTCATACAAAGGACATAGGTGAGAGGTGAGAGGGCAGGTTTGCTGGCAACGCATTGCAGCCCAGCCCAGCCAAGCCCTAGTCTCGTCTCATCCAGGTCAGCCCCTCCCCGTCTCCTTTTTTCACATTTTGCTCCGGTCGTTTTATGTATCAGAGTCAGCGATGCCATGTGGCTGGCTGTCTTTGGGCTCCGGGAATGTGGAGGCGCCGCGCAAACCAACGTATCCAAGCAAGGTTGAGCTGGCCAAGTTGGTCCCTGATCTAGATCGTTAGGCTTTGCTCTCGATCTTGGTCTGCTTCACATGTCAGTGATTGTCTGACCTGTACCTGTACCTGAGATCTATTTGTGGATTAGTGCACAGATTAATGTTGGGGAGCTCTATCCGTAGCTGTTCTAGACATGTGATTCCTTCACCTTGGCTGGAGAGGCTAGAGGCCAGAGGCTAGAGGCCAGAGGCTAGAGGCCAGAGGCTAGAGGCTAGAGGCTAGAGGCTAGAGAGGGAGAGGCTCTGATGCATGCCATTCACGCTAGACGCTACAGATAACAGCAAGATGATCAGCGGCCGCTGTCGTGAACTATTCGGTCCCTTACTGTTGACAGGGGTCGCTCTCGAAGCCCTTCGAACTTGGCTTCCTAACCAGCAACAGCTACTGTCATATTCCGGAGGGCCCGGGTTAGATCCCAACAAGGGGTTATGACGATATAGGCACATGTTATTATCGTATCTGCATGATTCACTTCCATCGAGTCAGTTTTGGCATCTTCGTATCTATGAATAAACTGTTTGAGACAAGAAGCGCCCGTTGTTTTTGTCTAGGTATGAATGGGACTGACCAAAATTCTTCAATCGGCCCCTACAGGTTCGGACGAATCACAAGTGGGGCCGCGATGCGGTAAAACGCTCCGCCGGAATCACGGCTCCAGGACCGCGATATCCAATAAGTAACATGTTGAATTGATTCCAACATCCACGGTCGAAATGCTCCGGTATTTAAACAACAAGAGATGACAGCCAATCTATATAGAATGTAAATTGAACCACAAACAACTCTGTAAGTCTAAATATTGAGCTGTAATTATTCATTAAATGGGACTTGAAATAGACTTACGTGGGCTTTCTACAATCCGCAACATTTGATAAGCCTCTCCGATCATTGCACCAACCACTGTACTGTACCAAGGAGCATTTTAGTCACAATTTGACCCAAGGGAACCGAGTTCACGATGAATTGTTGTCAATATCGTGTATATGAGTAAAAACTAATTGAACCTGCAGGGTAGTTACCAGTATATCCATGATCTTCATGCATCATCCAACTCAACCCTATCATCCAAACGCCTCGCAATGCATGTACAAAACCACAATACCACCTCGTCATTAACACATAATCACTTACAAATCCTCCATCCTCACCACTCCAATGACAGTTTCTCCACACTGTCCACCAACGACTGTATCACAGGTTGACTTGCAGTACGCTGTCCCTTCATCTTGCTTGCCTGCCTCATGCGTGTCCAAAACACAGGACAATCCTTGCTATCACACTGAACGTCCTCAATAGGTCCGAGGCCAGAACAACTGCGGCATAGCGAGAGTACTTCTTGAAGACGACGTTCCTCATTTATGAGCCGTGTCTGGAGTGTAAGAAGAGATGAGGGAACGTTCTTGCGGCAGGATGGACAAAGAGCATTGTCTTCCTGAGAGAACTTGAGACCACACACGAGACAATTCGTGGATTTCATGTAGGATTCGAGAGTCGTCTTCTTCTTACCCAGTGTAGTTGCGTGGTAAATACGCTGCACCTTGGGCATCTCGTCGTACCACTGGCGTACGTTTGCACCCACAAGGTTGAAGATACGCTCCAGAGGAGGAATCAAATTCTTCGAGATATAGTATTCGGCATCGAGCTGCCAGTGAGGGTTACTCAAAAGTTCCTCGGGCGCAACGCATCGGTCAATGAGTCGCGCTCCTGGAGCACCAGTAATAACAACGTATGGAATTCTCTCACCATATTGCGGTTCTGCGCGAGCATCCTGAAGCATACGCTTGGTGCTGATGAGAGCTCCTGCAGGTGGTGCACCTTTGTCCGAGTATGTACCCAGGCGCACTTCTTTGGCAAAACAAAAGTCTTGCACCGAAACATTGTTGCGCATGATCTTCTGACATTGCTTTTGGAAGTAATCCTTGACTTGAGTGAGATCTGCAGTCTCAAACAGTAGGCGAAGGGCCTTTTCCTCAATCTTCTGCTCCGCGGGTGTACCGTCACGACGGACAGTCTCGATTCCTTTGGCATCGAACTCGGGCTTCACCTGATCTTTGCTCTCGTATTTGTAACCGACATAACGTTTCTTGGCGAGGAGAACGCAGGGATGGTATACTTTCTCAAATTTGAGTTTGATGGGTCGAGGGTTCATTTCGGTAATTGCCT